TATTACTTGAATGACAAGCGTGCATGGCAATAGTTGTTCATGTATGAGATTTTCATTTAATGTTAGACATAGACACCTATTTAAATAAACATTGTACACAACCTGACTGTTTTTTTTTAATAAAAAAATATAGAAATTCAATTGAGTTTCTTGCCAGTTCTTCTCAATTGAATCTGTATACTGAACTGGACGCTAGGGAAAAAATTATAATATAAAAAATTTGACGTTCATAAGCAGCTAAAATGTCCTACATGAATATATGCTTTTTTAATTTGAATTTAAATAATTTTACAAAATAAATATGTATTCTTAACACGCCATTTTATGGTATAAAACTTATGTAATTAATAATTATTAAATTACGAATTTTATATAATTAAAAAGTAAAATCAAGTTAGATGGCCATGAAGTATATTCATACTTGACCAGGGATGCGTGTATTGCGTAGGAATGAAGATACTATGTTTAAGGGGGTCTTCCTATGTGACGGCCTGTTTTTTAGGGATATTTTAGGATTTTTTTTCTACGACCAGTAAATATTTAGAGCTTCAAGTTTTTTATCATTTATTAACACATATTTGGACAGTATAAATATAAAATTTCAGCTAAAAATATTCAGTCAAACTAGAGTTACAGCGCTCTGAACACCCCCGCCTCGAAATAAAGAGCTCCCACTTCCTCCACGATTCCGGCTGATCGGCTTATCTGAAAAAAAAAAAAAAAACGGCGTTTTAATTTGTAGGCTTAAAAGCACGGAATGACCTATAATCAAATGAATATAAAAAAAATTGGATTTTTGATAGACATTTGAAATAAAAGTTGCAAATTAGGCGTTTTTTTTTTGTTTTTTGCTATAAAAAAATCGAAGTTTTGAAAATTTTCGATTGATAATAGTTCATTCTATGCGTTTACATATATTGAGTGTGCCCTGTAAATTTCAAGTAATTCGGTCCAGCCGTTTCTGAGATACAATGGAGGAAAGTTTGAAAAACACAGTTTTGAGAAAAACGCGTTTAAAGTTTCAAGTCCGTTAAAAACTATTAAAATATCAACTTACTCTCAATAGGCGATGCCTGATCCATAGAGTATTCCTTCCTCTTCCTCGTGAAACTCTTTTAAAGCAGATTGTTCAGCTCTTGAGTCAATCCTGGCTTGTTTAACGACATCACTTACGCGCCGCTCAGAGCGTAAGATTCGCTTTTCATCCCGTTTCTCAACATACGCTTGGGCTTCACGACCAACAGGGCATCCCATAATCGACATAACTTTTAAAATACCTTGAAAACCTTCATTAAAGATAATAACTGCTAAGTAGCTAGCAATTTCAACAACTTTGGGACCAGAATGAAGATGTTTAGGAGCGAAAGTCCAAATCAAAGAATTCAAAGATTCGTTATTGTTTTGTGTCTCTGCTCCTAAACAACGAATTAATAATTCGTCTTTCGATAAATCTTCGAAAACCGGTTTGATAGCTTCTTGGACTTGCGGAATTAGAGGTGGTTTATCGTGATGAAATTGGTCCAGTTCATTATTAGCTTCAGCCTTACGCCATTTACACCAACTGTCTTCGCCTTCTGGACAAAATTGATGCTGAGGGTTTTCATCAGAAGAACATTTGTGATAGTACGTTGCCCAAACTTCCTTTCTCATATCTTCAAGCGAATCTGGATGGCGTCGAATTGCTAATCCGTAGAATTTTGTAATTTCTTGGATAACTTTCTTGGATAGACTAAAATAACTTCGGTAAAATATTATAACAATAGAAATTTCTGTTTAAGTCTGTAGAAACGTGTCTAAACTTATATAAACAAATATATTAATAAAAGGGAGGCCAGGTATAAAGCCAACGGTACACAATAGGCCCGGTCTCTAACTGCCAACTCACCGCTCCGAACCGCTCTTTCTTTTACCTGCTGTATCTTTAAAACGACTTCGAATTTTCTAAAATCGCTTTACTACCGTATTCTAGACATGTTAAGGGAGCAATTTACGAAAAAAAAAAATCGATTTTTTCAACCCATCACATAGGAAGACCCCCTTAAGGAAGATGTTACCTATGAATGTCGATGGTTATAAGGGCAGAGGAAGACCGAAAAAGAGATGGATGGACTGTGTGAAAGATGATATGATAAGAAAGGAAGTAAATAACGCGATGACTGCGATCAGTGAATGGAAGAGAAAAACATAACGCCGACTCCAAATAAATGGGATAAGGAAGAAGCAGATGATGACTTCACCAGGGATGCTATCGTTAAACACATTTTAGCTATAGAAAATATTATTACCCAATACAAAATAAACGTCTTACAACTTTTATTAAACGTCCTTTAAGTCATAGGTAATACATATATTCACACTTCCATAGTCTAAAGCAAACTCGGCGCCGCTGTCTGTTCGCTTAAGACTACAGACAAATAAAGTTACGGACAAATAATATTTAATCTATTCTCAATTTGACCACAGACTTTAATAATAAACAAAATCGTAAATGCGTGTGTTTGTCAAATACATGGTAGTGTGTGTAATGTTTCTTTTATTGAATCAATGTGTTTTTATGCATAATTTTTAAAAAATATTACTTTCTGCACTTCTTCTCTGTATACTATGAGTATGTGAAATTTCATACTCCTCCTTTTGCGCAATTTTCTTACATAGGGGTACAAATTCTTGCTTCATGTATTAATATGTACTACTATATTAATACATGAAGCAAGAACTTTGTACCCATATTTAAGAAAATTGATACTACTTACTACTTACTTAAAAAAATAGATACTAGCTGACCCCGCAAACGCTTTTTCGCTGTAAACGTTGTTTCGCTATATGAATTAAAATCGTTATTAAAAATTATGGTTAAGTTACGGAAGGGTGAAAATTTAGGGTTGTATGTATTTTGTAATGCCATTTTATTATAAAATAAAAATGTTTATCCAAAAAAGAAATATTAGGGATGGACAACTTCTTCTAACTTCGAACATATATAAGACCTACTGACTATGTATCTAAAATTTGATAAATATCGTTTAAAATAGAAATAGTTTCGTAGGAGTATGGTAACTAACATTGTGACACTAGAATTTTATATATGAGATAATGTTCTAACAGATACAGATTTGTTTCTAGCATTAATGTTGTTTGTAATGTTTTGGATATGAATAAAGATTTTGTCTATCTATTTACGTTTTAAATATTCCAGCCACGCACGCCCAGTTATGTTTACTGTGTCTAAAATTGCAGATCGACTCAATTTGTCTAAGTGGTACTCGATTGGATCCGCCTTGAGAGTATTCTGAAGTGTTTAATACTGTATTATTATATTTATTTTAGAGTAAGTTTTGAAGCTGAGAATAATTATTGTTTATATTGTAAATACATTTATGTGGGTTGAAGTTCAAATTGGTTCAGTCAATATGTCCAAGGAAAAATCCAGGGCCGCCGTAGACCAGGCAAGCGCCGCACTTCGTGGTTAAGAATCTAAGGCAGTGGTTTGGGGTTAGCACCAGATCCTTGTTCAGAACAGCGATGGACAAAATTAAGATCGCCAGGATGAACGCCAACCTCCGGCAGGAGACGGCACATAAAGAAGAAGAAGAATATGTCCACAAGAATGTCCGAAATTTTTATAAGATAAGCATTTATTGTCTATAACTGTAAAAAAGTATAAAAAAAAAAGTTAAAATTTAAAATAATTAGAATTTAAATGTCAAATAAAACAGTTCCTTTGCAAAAAAGCTTACTCTAAAATTGAAGAATTCGTTAAAACGATAATAATGGTTTTATAGAAAAACTTTAAATCCATAGCACTGACAATATTATCTGATTACACTAATAATGAGTGCGTAACGATTTCTATGTTGATTATCGCATGCCTCTTACTTGTTATACTGTAATTATTTATATAAAAAAACATCTATTAAAAAGAGCAACACACAAGTTTCTTGCTCATTCTTCTTGTGATGAATCTGCGTTCCGAATGAGTGGTAGAATCAAAATATGACTATTCAAAAGTGCTTGTAATGAGTTTATTTGAATAAAGATTATTTCTATTTCTATTTCTGTGTTACATCATATATTATGGAAACGACCAGTTTATCCATTTCGGACGTACAATATGAAATTAAAATATACAATTACATCAAATAACTAAATTACAAAAACAAAAAATTAAAAAATAACAATTTACAATACAATTTAGATCAAGCAATTTTTCACTCCCCTCCACCAAGGTAATATACATCTAAGTTGTAAAAGCACTTATACAATAACCATTGTTTTAAGGTTCTTTTAAATTGTCTAGCATCCAGTGATTTGATTTGATGCAATCAGGCAAATGATTAAATATTTTTATGCCACTTATATAGGTACTTTTATTATACATTACTTATTTATTTTATTTCCACTCTTACAACTATTTTTACAGGTCTTAGCCTAATACAATTATTGTAGCATATTGTTCAATTTCATTTTTTTGATATAATAAATTAAATATTTATCTATTTATTTAATTCAGGCTATGTACTAATGATGCCCACGTCATAACATCTACCAGCATGCCAAATTTCGGCCTGATCCGTCCAGTGGTTTGGGCTGTGCGTTGATAGATCACTATGTCAGTCACATTTGAGTTATATATAGATATTATAAGTATAATGTCCAGTATTATAAAAATGAGATGTATTATAAAAAAGTTGCATATAAAAACATCTATTCAAAATAGCAACACACAAGTTTCTTGCTCATTCTTCTTGTGATGAATCTGCGTTTCGAATGAGTGGTAGAATAATATGTATGACTATTCAAAAATGTATCGCGCGCTGTTTCATCGTGTTAAGTTTCAATATAAAATATAGCCTATGTGTTATTCTGATGTAAAGCTATATTACTGTAAAACTTTATCAAAATCCGTACAGTAGTTTTTTGCGTGAAAGAGTAACAAACATCCATACTCACAAACTTTCACGTTTATAATATTATTAAAAATATTTTAATTTAATTCCCAGGTAACCTGATAACCACGACAGCTCTACTAATGCACCCGAAGTTGCGCGGCCACGTGACTACCATGTTCGTACTCTCCCTCTGCGTCTCCGACCTGCTGTTCTGCAGCATTAACCTGCCCCTCACCGCGAACCGGTTCATCCGCCAGGAGTGGGGCCTTGGCGAGAAACTCTGCCAGATGTTCGCATTCGTCTTCTATGGGAATGAAGCGGTGTCACTGTTATCTATGGTCGCTATTACGATCAACAGGTTAGTAGAACTATTTATCATTATAATAATACTAGTTACCCACACCGGCTTCGCACGGGTGTATTACATATATAAACCTTCCTCTTGAATCACTCTATCTATTAAAAAAAAAAGGTTTAAAATCCGTTGCGCAGTTTCAAAGATTTAAGCATACATAGGGACAGACAGCGACAGCGACTTTGTTTTATATTATGTAATAATAATTATGATAATAACAATGCACAAAGCGCCATCTAGTCCCAAGCTAAGGAGAGCTTGTGTTATGGGTACTAGATAACTGATATAAATACATAGAAACATTTTTTTTGTAAATGCATAGATATTATACATAGAATACACCTAGGTGTTGCAGTTGCTCATGGGCGGCAGTAATCATTTACCATCAGGTGAGCCGCATGCTCGTTTGTCCCCTGTAATGAAAAGAAATCAAAACTTACATCAATACTTTGTATTCATGAATATGATTATTTGTATCAATCTGGGTGTTTTCTATGTATAATATGTATGTATTTACGAAAAAAAATATTTGTTTGTATCAGTTATCTATTACCCATAACACAAGCTCTAGCTAGCTTAACGTGGGTCTAGATAGCGCTGTGTGAACTGTCCTGAGATTATTATTATTATTAATAACGGTAATATTTCTAACAATGCATATTTTAGATCCACCACCTTTATTTAAAAAAATCTATGGAGACGTGTATTTTTTTTTAATTTTTAGTAAAACTAAACAAAGAGCCAAGGACCTGCATTCCTTCTTTACACGCTGCTCACGTGACCGCAATTAAAATTATTGCTGCAGAGCAGAGATCCTTTTAATAAGAAGATGCGTCGACTCCATAATAAACACGCAATTAGTACACCCGAGTGAACCCATAAGCCCATACCTACATTTGTACGCGTCGTAAAAAACACATTCGCGCCGTCTCGGGAGCGTTTTTTATATATACACTTGTCCGTCCGTGCATTATTTATTACATCACTCGTACGCCGTACAGTTGTAAAACAAAAATATGTTTTACTACCATAAACTATGGATTACGAGGCAATGTTAATTTAGGTTTTACAAACGAAACAAATACTTTTTGTCGATGGATTTGAGGCGGGAAAATCGCAGGAATGATCATTTTATAGAAATATGTTGAATTCATCATCATCACTCATTTTGAATTATTAAAACAAAAACTTTTTGTCGTATCAACAGCTAAAAGGACTGATAGAAGATCGTGGAAGGTGGCAGGAGCTCCACCGACAAGAGCACAGCTCTTAAATTATGAATGAATGAATAAAACATAAACTTTTTGTCTATGGATTTAAGCGGGAAACTCGCGGGAATTATAGATATTTTGAATTATTAAAATTCGTAAATATGTTTCGTATTTCGTTTAAGAGGAATGACGATAAAGCGAAATCATATTTCTCCTACAATAATCCTTTTTTTGTTTTGGAAAATACAGTCTTTTTCAATTTTTCTCTGAGTACAGGGTAGTAGTAGTCTAGCAATAGCGCAAACGCAGTATTGAAAAATATATATATATGACCTTACTTTGGGTAATTCTACAACAAACTTGTCACTCCGGTCACACCGGAGAAGGAATGGCTGACAAAATGACTATTTTATGAAAAATTAGAACAATTTTAATAAATGTGTACATTTTCCTAAAGGGTAGACAAAATGATACAAAAAAACATATCAAAATAATATAAAATTCATAAAAAGAATGGTGGATAAGCTGCCAAATAGAGAAAATCTGACCGGAGTGCGAAAACGAAACGAATCTTATACTATCGACAAAATTACATTGACTTTAATTGTAGTAGTTATTGTAAAAAATTTTCATAGTAGCAATTTTTGTATAGATGTTAGGGATGTATCTTAATAATGTAATAGTAAATGCAATACTTGTTATTGGGCATATCAAGTATTGCATTTAGTATTTATATATATCATCATTTAGTTAAAAACATATCAGGACAATTCACACAACGCCATCTAGTCCCTAGCTAAACGAACCTTGTGTTATACAATTGATATAAATACATAGATTTTTTTGTTTTCGTAAATACATACATATTATACATAGAAAACACCCAGACCGATACAAACAATTATAGTCATGAATACAAATATTTGTGCCGTGCGAGGAATCGAACCAGCGACCATCCGTAGTAAGACTAGACTACATCACTAGACCACCGAAGCTGTCAAGATAAAAATCTATCACAGGCCAGAGGCGACTTACCGTCATAATTATCTGTCCAATTAATTTTATTTGTCACAAAAAAAAATATTAGTAAACATATTTTTTGCTATCGCCGAGACTTGAACTCACGACCTTTGTATGTAACTGTAGAAGTGACCCACGAAGTCATAACAGTAGGGTTGCCATCCTTCCGGGTTTTCCCGGATTTGTCCTAGTTTAGAGCGCATCCGCTGAGCGTCCTAAGTTATGTATTTTGTTTTAATTTTCATATTGAAGTATATTAATAATTTGTGTTTTATGTTAATAATAAAAAAAAAATAGAACTGCTTATTAAAACAATTCGTAACAAAATGTAATAAGATTCTGTTTTGTTGGGTACATTTAAAATGATGATAAAAAAAGGTCTGAAAATAAATAAAAAGTTGATTTACGATATTTTTAACTGATTTTTCTTACACTGACTATGTTTAAAACAACCTATTGACATGTCCTGGACTCTAAAATCCGGGGTTATCACGCGTCTTGTACTGGTTTCCATATTTTAGAGATGGCAACCCTACATAACAGTGATGTTTGTAATAATTTGCGTTAAATTCCGATATCGAATTGCGATTTCGAGGCTGCAGAACTAATTAATTTGGACTCATTTATCTGAATATGCGTCATATAGCAATACTATTGCGATATGAGTTCAATGGCCACTCCATTAGACTGGAGTACGAGTATTACCATAACACTTAAGTGTCATTAATATTAATGCATGACGCTAACTGATTTAAATACGATAAGGTCATAAGAACACCATGCACTGTTAATACTTATAAACATTCGAGTTAATGCGCGCATTATGGCGCAGTATTAACACGTCGAGAGAAAATTTTAAACCCATTTTTGGGAAAATATCCCTATATGAAATTATAGTAATGTTTATATGAAGGAGGATCTATAAAAACCAAATATTTTTTATGATAATTCAAACGCAAAAATCATTTATTCATATTACATTTACGGCCTAATAATGCTTACTAAAGTAATATTTTCACCGTCCAATAAGCTGGTAACTCAATTGGTAATATTTTTTTATATTATTATTACATTTTATTGTCTTTAAAAAAATAACATAACCTTCAAATAGTGTAATACGTGCTTAACATTTTTAAATTTCGAACAATTAAAAAGTACATTAAATTAAAACTAAAACAAAAACATTACACACTCTACCACGTACTGAACACACACACGTTGATGTAGAGATTTGACAGAACGCGAGAGGGCTGTCGACCGTAATAGATGACGTATCAGTAAATTTGAAAATGGAATCTTATTTAAACGTCATTACTTTTTTTTCTTTTGGAACGTTCAAACTTAAAATTTAAATAAATTATTGTATAAATTCAACTTTATAATTTGGCAAATGCATTATAGTGCCAAGCCATGACATTAAAAAAAAAACTTTATAATTTAAATAAATTAAAAAATTTAATTTCGAACACTAGCGAGTACTGGTATGATTATTTGTACTGGTTGTTGGTGTTCCCTATCTATATTATGTAGGTGTTTAAAAAAAAAGTATTTATATCAGTCTAGTGCACCCATAACAGTAGCTGAGTTTAGTACTGTATAGCGTTGTTGTCTATTCTTATTAATGGATATTATTATAATAGAAAATAGAAATAATCTTTATTCAAATAAACCTAATATAAGCACTTGGAACAAAGTAAAGCAAAGGTTATTAAACAACATCATAAACTCTGTAGGTTAAAAAGACAGGGTAGACCGCTGGATGAAGCAATAGCCTTAAAAAACTCCCTTCGATTGGAATACTCAAAGTTGTTCAGTGAGTATTCCAACAAGCACTTCCGCGAATTCTGCAATAGACAGGGAAAAGAGGATGTATGGGCTGTCACTAATAGAATCATCAAAACCGCACCTGCACCGCAACCTCCAACTACAATACAAAAACCCGATGGGACCTTCACCCAAACCCCAATTGAAACAGCCGAAGCCATTCTCCACAAATTTTTCCCTGACGACACGCCGGACAATAGGCAGGCCCACCTGGAACATAGAACACAGTCAAATCTACCCCCTCCCAATACCCCTAATGAACCCCCTTTCACCATAGAAGAAGTCCTCCTAACTGCTAAAGAAAGTAATCCAAAAAAAGCTCCCGGACCAGATCACCTTACCGCCGACATCATTGTTGCAGTCGTCGAATCCATTCCCGAAGTAATCACAGCCGTCATGAACAGATGCCTTGAGATAGGACATTTCCCTACGATTTGGAAAGTAGCACGCATCAAACTCATCCCAAAGAATGGTCAACAGAGCAATGCCAATAGCCTTACCTCCAGACCAATAGGTCTCCTCAACATCCTAGGAAAGTTATTGGAGAAACTCGTCATGCAACGCCTCACTCATCATATCTACACCACAAACGTCAACAACTCCCGTCAATATGGTTTCAAACCCCAAGTCTCCACCGCACACGCTTTAGATAATGCCATCAACAAAATTAGAACAGCCTCAACATCCGGCTACCAAGTCCTAGCCGTATCCCTTGATATCAAAGCCGCCTTTGATCACGCTTGGTGGCCTAACATCCTAAATAGACTTAGGCTCATCGGCTGCCCCAGAAACGTCTACGCTGTTCTGGCCAGCTATCTGAGGGACAGAACAGTCTCATTAAATCTGGCAGATGCCTCAGCCGCCAAACCACTGTCGAGAGGTTGCATACAGGGTTCTGTATGTGGGCCGGCAATGTGGAACCTGGTCCTGGACGGGCTTTTCGACCTG